ACACACACCACACACGCACACACACACACACACACACACATGCATATAGTAGCAATCTACACTAATTAGCTTTGAGCCCAGAAAGTCACAAAGGGATTTGCTCTCTCTGTTGTTTTATCGCGGCTCACTGGGGAGTTTTTCTCCCTGTTGCCAATATTTTGATAATGTTTTCTCTCTTCTCTTCCACTTTTACAATTTTAGTGTGCTTGTGTCATGTGACTTTGTAAATGATGTATCAGGAAGTTCACCGCAGGTGTTGTTGGAGCCTTTTTTGGGGGATTCAGCAATTATGTGATCTTTAAATTTGGTGAAAAGGCATATGAGGTGAAGGTCTCTAATAAACGGAATATGAATATTAAAGACTTTCCAAAGAATGTAGAATTCACAAACCAGTCACTAACATTATAAACTAGCTTATACTTCAGTATACCAATCTGTTATTTTAGGAGATAAGGTTTTCATGTGTTGTATTTTGTGTTGATCATCTCTATATGAACTCTAAATGATTATTAAATATGTTTTCAACATTGCTAATAATCATAAATGTTTCTTGAACAGCAAATCAGCATATTAAAATGATTTCTGAAGCCCCCAAATGTATTCTTCCAAAATGTAGTCATAGATTGGTCTGTTACATTTTAGTTACTTCACTCATTAACATGAACTAAAAAGTTATTTTCTTCGACTAAAATCATGTGACATTTTAGTAGGAGTAAAATGAACAAAAATGTGGACATGATGGAACAGGATTGAATACATTTTCTTAATGTTTCTGTTAAAAGACAAAAGCTATGACCAAAAAAAAAAAAAAACCTGCAATAAATGAGCACTGAAGAGAAAGCAGAGAGAGCGAGAAAGCAGGAATGGGAAACGACAGCTATTTCTGTGTCCTGCATTAACGGCACACTGGACCATTAATTGTGTAATGAACTAAAGGTGTGGAAGAGGGAATTCAGAACAGGTTTAGCTAGAAGTTTTGAGGCACAGACACACACTGGTATGGTCATAGTTCAACACACACACACACACACACACACTCACTGATTACCCCATAATGCTCATAATGTCAAACTGACTAATTCATGTCAAATTCTGAGTGCAAATTCGTTTTTCTGTCCTCACGGAAAGTGAAAATGCTGCATGAAGTCACAAAATTACAAATTTGTTTATTATACAAAGTAGGACATGGATCTGGATTCAAAATGGCCTCATCCAGTCAGACTCAATGTATATTTCTGAGAAACACATGACAAGATGCTGCATTACGTTTACAACTATAAACTACAGTTATAATGAACTTTTGGCTATTGGCTATGTTGCATTATTTTAATCATTAATAGTACTAATTGTAACTATTTATTGTTCTTCATTGTTCACAATCAGCAACTAAAACTAAATCCATGAAAAAAAAAACTAATTTTGGTAATTGAAATAAACCTAAAATAAAATAAAAATATTACATGGAAGGCAAAAACTTAAATGAAAATTAGACACTTATTGATTTTCATTATTATATTATATTACAGTATATTATATTATATTAATATTATATTATATCAATAAAAACAGTCACTGAATTAATTTTTTATTTAAAAAAAACAAACAAACTCAAGAATATGTAATTAGAAATAAAAAAATAAAATTATGAAAAGCACATAAAAAACTAAAATGTAAATAAAAACGGAAAACAAAACAATAATAGATCATTTAAACTATTAACACTGTAGTAGTACAGTATATAACTAATAATAATAAAATAACACTCCACTGTTGATGGATCTACCAGTGAGCCACAATAAAAATATAAACCAAACAAAATGCCTTGCTTTGCAATGATTTTTCATCATGGCTGGTTATAGGATATGGTGTTAAATGAATCTCATAGGCCAGACCAGTGTCTTCATCGTGCTGGTTTTCAACCTGAAGTTAACCTTCTGTCATACACAAAACACACACTTCTCATCTCCAGGCCACCGCGCTAAATGAGTTTCAGTCCGGTACTCCAGGGGCAGGTTACACTGGACCTCTACTTTAGTGTGCTCATTACCTCATTCAAACACAGATAGCGCTCTCGCAGATTTGATTTGGCCATTATAGGCACAGCGCCGGAGGCCTCGTCCTCCGATTGAGTTTCCGTAACTTGTCCGAACACGGTTTTTACTGGCAGCGAGGTGACATCAGTTTTTAAGTGGACAGCAGGTGGATGGCGATATCAACCTTCAAATGTGAAAGAAACTACTTGTAACTAGAGATGCACCGATACTACATTTCTCCAATAGCTGATTATTCAGAATGACATCTACTGATACACTTGTAAAAAAAGATACAAATGTAAATAAAATAAAAAAGATCATTAGAGTATGTTTTACAAGAAAATTATTTTTTTCTACTTCAAAATGTCATGTTTAATTCAGTGTGTTTCTTGTTAGTTCTTTGTAATTAATTGTGAAATTTACTTGCAAAACTATACAGGAAACCCTCTCATTTGGTATATTACTATACTATTATAGGTTATAATTAACATCAGAGCCTAAACTATTGCTGCATATTCAACTGCAGTTTATATTCCGATATAATAATCACACTCAAATCAAAATTAAATGATTGTATGCAACATACATATATAATTGACAGTAAGTAAACTTCTCCCTAGTGTTTTTTGTTGCTAACTAACCAACTGTGAACACTGGTAATTTCCTGAGGTAAATGTTATGTAACATATTGACATCTTTCCGTGGTTATAAAACTATCCAAGACATAATATGTTTCAGTAAGTTGTACTGTGTCTTTCAACAACCTCTGACGTTCATCCATGTTTATTTTGCTCAACAACTTGCATTAAATTTGAAGACACTTCCTCTTGAACTGAGGTGCTAAAGCGGCACATTTAATGAACCAAATTTGGGAGCTGAGACTTTGTTTCTAATCAGCAGTAACAAAGCACAAAGCTGTTTGCGATTAATGGATGGGAGCTGCGCTACAAATAATATTTGGTGAAGGGAAAATGCACATACCTGGCAACCCTGGCTTGAGCTATGGATAATTCATACAGTCAGAAACTGCGTTCTGTTATTTTTTAAGTGCGATTGTGATAGTGTTATAATCACGTTAACTTTGATAGCCCTAAATTCAACACGAGAGGCATTTTCTTTACCCACCATATGAGCTTCTTCAAGGAAGGGGCCGCAACCTTTACCATGAGTGATTTAGAAGTAGAGGCTCGAATGAACGGGGCCTCAGCGGTCTCGCTTCCTTTTCCTTTTAGAGGACTCCAGTAGTAGTGAAAGGCTTCTAGAATAAAGCAGGCTTGGCAGGCGTTTAGCAGCGCATGATGCCAGCAGGGGTCCTGAGCTCAGGGATTCTCCGTGCAGTAGGGAGTCTCAACAAGACCGAGAGGTCTGTCTTCCAATTCGTTGCGTTAGCACATAAAAGCTTTAGCTCTTCATGGCTGTAATAAATGTTATACATTGCTGACGGACTAACTGCTATTGCTTTTGATGGTGCTGTTTGAGGGCAGAATCACAAAGGTGGAAATGCAACCCACAGGTAGGGCTGGGCAAAAAATCGAATGCGATGTGTAGCTTGTCAGTGAACTACGGCTCTGTGTAGTAAATGCCGCTCCATCTGAAAGCACGTGCTGGAGATTTACTACTAATCAATAGAAGCGGCTTTAATGATGAGATTCTCATGAAAATCGCATTTGATTTTTTTGCCTAGCCCTACCCACAGGGCACTTTCACACTAGAGTACGAGGTGTGAGTTTGAATTGTTAAAAATGTGGTGTGACCATCAAGTAACACATAATAACCTTACAACTTGAAAACATGTAAATGTACATATTTTAGTAATTATTTAAAAAAAATATATATATATATATAGTTCAGTCATGAAACTCTAGATGGCGCAGGCTGACGGATTGTTAATGTAACTGATGATATTCAGAGAAACGACTTGGCACAAGCTGATTGGTTCATGCTGCAAATGCAGCCAATGAGCTTACTGCCTTGCATTTATATGGCTGGCTAGCATTCACTTGAGATTCCTGCAGCGCGCGTTCAGAGTTTCTCTGAAACCCTCCACCTTCCCCTGATATTTGTGCAGCTGCAGTATGTCTTAAATACTCACGGCACCTTATCGTCATATGCACTGGCAGCAGCAAGTTCCTGTACTTGCTTGCAGCAGCAGCAATAATCTACAACTACAGCAATAACCAACAGCAGCAGCAGCGTAGCAGATCTATTCCGCCAAGACCAAATACATTAACATTGTCATATCCATCACCATGCTAAAATCTTCCGAGAGTTGTCATGATTGAAATATACAGTGTATATATATATATATAATATTTTATATATTTTAAAATATTTATATTTTATTTTGAGTAATTGTCATTTTATGCTTTAAGGTCATTCTTACAGTTTTTGAGATTGTGTCCCCAAAAAATATATCAAACTGAATCTTCATTTAAAAAACAAACAAAAACATATTCATTATAAAATAGATGTACTCTATTGTGTATGTGTGAATTTTAATTATGCATCCTTGAGTAAATTATTACATTCATACAAGTCATGTCAAATCACTTTTATTTACATAACAGTTTATACAGAGTGCTTCAAAGTGACTTCATAGTAATAAACAGGAAAATAACAGAATTAAACCTCTTCAAATATGGGATAAGCTAAAATCAGTTCAGCATTTATATACTTCAGTTCAATGACAGTGTTGATGTCACACACACACACACACACACACACAATAGGAGTGTCACGTAATTGATAAACTGAAACATTATTGTGGATTCAAAATAACAATTATTCTGGCTTCACTTATTTACAGTATTGAACAGCTGGCACTAGTACATGTGGTGGTACTCACATTAATGACATGAATATATGACCGTATGGAACCAAATACTCAAATGTTAAAAGAGAGATGCTGAAATTGATCTTGAGTGTGCACTACACATCTAAACCTCAATCGATGTTTTGTCTTTGTAGAATTCAAGCGAAGACCAGGGAGCTCCGAGAGCGACAGGCCAGAGAGCGAGACTACGCTGAGATCCAGGACTTCAACCGCACCTTCAGCTCCGACGAGGAGCACACCTACGCTGGGATCGGCTCTCTGGACTCGTCCCTGGACAGCAGCATGGACCTGAGCCATAACCCCAGTCTAGAGCGTCCGCAGAGCCCCCGAGACCAGGCCTTGCCCTTAGAGGCTCTCTACGCACAGGTCAACAAGCCCCGCAACGGACGCCCACCATCTGCAGACAGGTAAGAGCTCACAGCTTCTTTTCCTTCAGGATCACTGTGATGTGATGCACAGGCTGCTTTTGAGTGTTTGTCAGGGCGGCTAAGTGATACTTGACTGATGTAACGGGACAATGACGTGCCTTGACATGTTCTTGCAAGACGCAACCTTGGCTGTGTGTTTCCAAAGCTTTGCATAATGCAAGCTAAAGTGCGTTTTCTCGCTGTCAAATATGTCTTATTTTGTAAGGTTGGATCGGGTGAAGGGCACCAGCACTTTTGAAGCTTATTTTATTGTTATAAGTTTCTCTGCAGACCTCTCTGATAGAAGATGTTCTTCTTTTATACATGTTCATGTCTGAAAGTTTGGAAAATGAAAAGCTGTTTTCATCCACCCTTTGTAGTGTGAAACAAATTGAAAGTCAAACAAACAGTGTTATCAGATTTCTCATCTGAGTCCCAGCGGCTGCTTTTATAGCACAGGTAAATCATTGATAATTCTCTGGATGGGAAAATGTAATAACCAGCAGGCTCCTTTATTATCACGGATCATGTCAGATCCACCCTCAACGTGCACAGAATCTCTGAATTCGTCTGGGTTTTTAACGGAAAGAAAAGTCAACTTTATACTAGAAACTGCTGCAATTAGCTGAACTTTAGAGTGTTTTTGACCCACTTAAATAAAACATTTCACAAAATGCACTGCTGGATGCGCTGCCAAGCATTTATGCTAAACTAAACTATTCTGTCATTTATTTTGAAACTTGCATTTCATGCATTTAATATGTTTGTAATACACATGTGTTATGATGAAATTGCAATTTAGTACATTTAAAATATACTAACTTCATATGTGATATTGAATAACACACTGCAGGACGTACTTTACATGTGCTTTAGTCAACACATCAAAAGAAGTACTTCTTTCAAACATGACGAAGATTATTAAAACAATTATTTAAAATGCACAATTAAAAGTAAGATTTTTAATTTGACATTCTTAGAAAGAAGCCTTTTGAAAAGTGCACTTAAGTGTTAAACACAGTCAAGTGTCTCTTTAGATACACTTAAGTGACCTTTTAATTTATTAATATTATACCAAGTTTTTGTATATACTTTTTAGTTTTGAAATACACTACAAGTACACTTTTAATACAGTTAAGCACACTTCTTAGGAGAAACAAGCAGTTTGGGTCACTTTGTTTACATGTGTTACTATATAGGCTACTGTCTAAAACTTTATTAATGTTAACAAATGATACATCTTTTGAAAGGTCAAAGGGTTTAGTGTTAATATATGTGACCCTGCAGCACAAAACCAGCTTAAGTCGCTGGGGGATATTTATAGCAATAGCCAAAAATATATTGTATGGGTCAAAATTAAAGATTTTTCTTTTATGCCAAAAATCATTAGGATATTAAGTAAAGGTCATGTTTCATGAAAATATTTTGTAAATTTCCTACTGTAAATATATTAAAACTTAATTTTTGATTAGTAATATGCATTGCTAAGAGCTTCATTTGGACAATTTTAAAGATGATTTTATCAATATTTAGATTTTTTTGCAACCTCAGATTCCAGATTTTCAAATAGTTGTATCTCGACCAAATATTGTCCTATCCTAACAAACCATGCATCAAGCTTATTTATTCAAGCTTATTTATTCAGCTTTCAGATGATGTATAAATCTCAATTTTGAAAAATTGACCCTTATGACTGGTTTTGTGCTCCAGGGTCACATATGGTCTCTGTTTTACGTTATAGATGCTCCAAAAACAGTAATATAGTAATTTTGTGTTGGGAGTGTAAAAGGAACCATGCGACATTAAAACAGTACTTTATACCTTCAAGTAGAAACTTTTTTTTTTGGTCATCTTTTTGAAGTTCACTAGCATGGCATCAGAGCATGTAGACATGGACTAAAAGCTGCAGAAGTTTGAGTCTTCAGGAAGAGTTGAGAAGTTGTTTCAGTGTTGTTGATGCCAGTGTTATGATGTGTGGTACAGACACTGAATATCTGATGCAGAGGACTGACCTACATTTGCTCTGGTGAAATGAGAGTATTTTCTGAGATACCGAAACAATATATTCCAAAACGCCTCACTTTGTGCTGTTGCTGTTCTCCAGCTTCCAGATTCATGGCTTGTTTTATGATATTTATGACAAATTCACCAGTAAACTTCCATCAGTGTATGAAAACTAAGGGAAAGTCACTCGGTATTCACACTGAAGAATCGCCTCGATCGCTCTGTTCCTCTAGCTAGCGGTTATGAAATGGTTAGCGGTAAGTTATGGAAATGCTACTAAAGGCCAGCGTGTCTCTGTCAGGAACAGTAATGACTCTCTGTGGGTTTATTATGGCGGCGGGTAATTGGCTCGTCAGCGGCGTGAAGCAGAGGCTGTGATTGACAGGTGTCACTCAGGCTGCCTGACCTTTCCCAGGATGCAATGGGAAGGGGATTATTACGCTACCGACTGCTGTTGTCCCAGCAGGAGCGTTCCCAGCGGCCGCTGACACCCCGCCGTTCGGCCGCAGTGTGAATATGACGAGGTCACGCAGCGCTCAGCAATCTGATGAATCCTTGTGCCAGTATCTCTGGTGGCAGCGCTCTGTCCCTAGTGTACTGCAGTGTGTGAATGCACAACAATATTAGCATTCATTTATGCACTTATTTATTTACTTACTATGCATGCATATTACTAGGGTATTCTAATATGTGACCCTGCAGCACAAAAGCAGTGTTGAGTCGCTGGGGTATATTTGTAGTAATAGCCAACAATACATTGTATGGATCAAAATTATACATTTCTCTTTTATGTTAAAAATCATTAGGATATTAAGTAAAGATCATGTTCCATGAAGATATTTAGTAAATTTCCTGCTGTAAATATATCAAAACTTAATTTTTGATTAGGAATATGCATTGCTAAGATCTTCATTTGAACAATTTTAAAGATGATTTTCTCAATATTGTGATTTTTTTGCACCCTCAGATTCCAGATTTTCAAATAGTTGTATCTCAGCCAAATATTGTCCGATCCTAACAAACCATACATCAATGGAAATATTATTTATTCAGCTTTCAGATGATGAATAAATCTCAATTTCGAAAAATAGACCCTTATGACTGGTTTTGTGCTCCAGGGCCACATATAATAGTACATTTTATTTATAAAAATACTTTATTATGATAAAAAGTTGTATCATTATTATTTAAATAGAAACATTGTATAAACTTTTATTATTAATTAAATTATTAAAGTAAGTATTATGTAATTTTTCAGTTCAATATCTTCTATATATCTATTATTTGGTCTTAGCTATAATAATAATAATAATATATTGTTACATATTCTTATTATTAAATATATGCACTATATGAAATATAAATACTGCATACTTTTATGTACTATTATACTATTGCTAATAATAATTACATTATAAGTATGAATTACATTATACAGTAAGTCTAAATAATTATTCAGCAACTCTTCAGTTGTCATTAATAAAAATAATAATACTAATCTTGTTAAATACTATGCATTATTTGAAATGTAAATACTGTATAATAGTATGTACTTTTATACTTGTATTAATGATTGAATTGTTACATTATAAGTATGAATTATCAGTCTGAATAATTATTCAGCAACTCTTCAGTTGTTGTAATAATCATCATCTTCATCATCTGCACAGAAAAAAAAAAGTATAGAAAAGTGTAGAAAATTACTGGTACATTTCCATTATACAATACAATACATCTTTATTGTCAACCATGCTTGAAATTTGTCTTTGACCACACCAGCGACAACCATATACACATACAGACACATACTACAAAACACATAAAAACCATCATACTGAATCACATAGCTTTTTGATTAATAAATCCGATCGCAGCAGTACAAAAGACCTTTTATAAATATTTGTCTTTGCTCTAGGCATTAAAAATCGTCTCCCAGAGGGCAATAACACAAACTGATCACACAGAGGATGAGTTGGGTCTTTTAATATACACTCCGTGTATATTAATATACATATTTAAGGACATTTCCTTCAACCATAAAACACAACCCAATGCAATGTGTAATGACTGTGTAATACAAATACAGGTAAAACACCTGTCAAAAAATCAACATGGAAAATTCCTTCAAAATAAAACATTATGTCAGATGTTTTTAGAGTATAGTTTTACGTTAGTAGCAGTGTCGAGTTTATGTTGTTTTGTTTAGACACAGAGAACAATCAAATACAAGAGAAAAGAAAAAAGCGATGTGGAAATGTTTGTTTTATTACCGACAGTTTTGCTCAGTATCTTTCACTCCAGAGTGTCCTGATGTAGTAAAGGTTAAACTTTGCTGCTTGAAAACAACTGCTTCTGTCTGTCCTGCAGGATTCATATACATGTTTCATATATGGCTTATGATACAGGCTTCTCTGTTTTCTGCCGTGTGCATATTCAGCTGTTCTGTCTGAAGATAAGACAAGACACACATAGATATACAAAAGCCCCAGAAGATGCATTTACAGAGAAATTAGAAATGTGTGCAATTACTGAAACTAAATCTGAGCTACACTAGTTATCAACAACCTACAACCAAAACCCCTTGATCAAATACTGTAATGATTCAGCTTTATGAATTCCTGCACGTTTTCTGTTTGTTTATTAATCAGCTAAATACCCAGAAGCAAATACAAATATTTTCAGCACAGTCTGTGACATTAAGATTATTTTTATCAAATTCTAGCATATTACTAGCTTGCTTTTCCTCTTCAGATATACTCATTTGAACTCTTTGCTCTCCAGCGTGAAATAATAAAGGCATGTTTATTAAACTATAAGTTGCATATGGAAGGTCTTAAACACTGAGTGCAGTTTACTGAATCTTCTCTCCTTTTAAAATAAAAATAAAATGCGTATTTCAGAAAGAGAAAGAGTTATAAGCCTTCTCGCAAATGTACTTGACATCTGATTGCATGCAAATCATCCTGCGTATATTTTAAATAGCGAGTTTGGAGCTT